GTATTATCAAGCAGGAAGAGGACAGGATTTTCAAGAAAAGCAAGCATTCCTGGTGACCCACCATCCACCTGGTGACCAGCTGTTCTGTCTCCAACTCCGGCTGGTGCTGGCCATGTTTCTGAGCCTCATTACCTGCAGTAAAGATGCCTTCCTAAAATAAATCCAGGAACCAGCTACATCTCTGGCATCCGAGGACCAGCATCGTCTGGAAGGAGTCTATGCCCTCTAGCTCCAAACCCCAAATCTCTAAAAGCAAATTCTAGCAGCCCCTGGAAATCCATACACATATACAAAAGTATGTATAAAAAATTACAGAACCAAAATAAACTAAAATCCTTTTCCTTGGTGGTACCCATTGTGTTAATCAAATCTCATCTAAAATAATGTATTCACAACCCCAGGCATAGGGAAGGAATTTAAATCCAGTAGTGATTTAGAATCAAAGAATAAACACCGGCATGTGTCTCTGGCATAAAGAGAAGCCTGGGGACAGGATGTGGCTGCGAAAGGAATATTTAACCTTTAAGCCATTGGTTTCATGGAGCCTTTGGTATGAAAATATGAGGAGGTGATTTTCATCGGAGGGCCTACATGAAAGTACTTTTAAACTTAAATAGTTAGCAAAGGTACTAAAGATTTGGGGATGCTTTGATTTGTTGGTTGTTATTAGGTGGAGTAAGATCAGGCTTATAGATGACCCACAAGGTAGGAAAGTAAGGTAATAATCTAACACTCTGTTATCCTTGCCCTGCATGAGACAACTCTTGGTCATTAGCATAACAAATAATGAAAAAGACACATGATCCCTCAAGGAATTTTTTTTATTAAGTTTCAGGACAGTAAATAGGTTAGAGAATAAAAATAACCCTAAGGAATAAATGTCTAGGCTTATACCTGAGCATATGTCAATTTACCGGAGTCTAAAGTAGGAAAGATGGGGAAGGAACAGATTAGGGAGCAGGGCAGAGAGGTAAAAAGGAAAAGTCTGTTTTGGATGTGTTTGGTTTCAGCCGCCTGTAGGAAACTCAACAAGTGTCATGTACAAAATTGTTTATACAAATTTAGAATCTGTAACAATTTGGTGCAGAGATATAAACATATGAGTTAACAGTATCTAAATAGTACCAAAGTCATGGGAGAAAATGTGGACAAAGACAAGCACTGGAGCACTGGAGGCAAAGGTCTGGGATTTCTTGGCAACATACCCACACAGGGCACTGTGAAAGAACAGTAAGCCTGTTTTGCTTATAAACGGTTTCCTGCCATCTTCAAAACAACAGATCGATCAACTGGCACCTCAGGACCCCTCACGATAGGCAATTAAACAGAATTTAATGGAAAGGTATTTACCAATATGTCATTAGGCTGAAAAGCAACAAGAGATGGCAAAGCATCCAAGATCATGTACACACTACCAGCCCAGCCCCGCCTGGCGTCAGCCCAGGGCACGGGGCACAGAAGCACACTGCCCCCCTCTGTCCTCCTGCAGCTACTGTGGACCAAGCCCAGTGGAGACCAGCACACAAGGCATTACTGAGACAGTCCGAGAAACCAGCTCCCAGGGACACAGGGCACGGGGAGTAGCAGGGAATGGTAGATGTAGAAGGGGAAACCAAGAATATCCACCCAGCACATCTCATCAACACAATTACAACTGACTGTGCAGGTTGTTGTCTACCTAAGACGTGTGTATGCCATTTGGACCTTGTCCTTCAAACTGCAAACTTTTCCGGCTGGAGTAGAATCGTCTAGTTCAGTTTTGCCTGTCACTAAATGACCTATAAGGCAGCATTTGCACCATTCCTTTAGTATTTTATTGACTATCCCATTCTTTGTTTTGTAAAATGATTGGAGAAAGGAAGTACAAAGACCGATGCTATTCATAGGACACATAAGCCTTAACAGTTGTATACTGTTAAACAAAAAATAAAGTCATAACGTACTAATCTGAAGCCAATCTTAGTTTTCAAACAGAAGGGCAGTGGGAAGGAAAAGCATAAAATTAAAGAAGTTGCATAAGATGCACAAAAATTGTGCCAGTAATATGTGTCTAAGTGGACAGATTTATTCAGGGATTTTAGTTATCTTTGGGCTTTCAGCAAATAGATTCCCTTTCATATATTATTTGACCTTTTTAAAGTTTTTTTCAAGAAAACATTCTCTGTGAAATTCAGTAGGAATGTATCCTCTTATTTTGAGGAGGTTTGATAATTACTAACTTTTCAAAGTCCTAACTCTTGCAGGCACTTATACCCACACTGTCCAATAGAACTTTCTGGAAATGTTCTGTATTTGTGCTACCCAATGGTAGCCACAAGCTACCTGTGGCAATGATCACTTGAAATGTGACTGGTGCAAATAAAGTGCCAAATTTTTAATATTATTTCATTTGTATTAATTTACATTTTAAAAGCCACCTGTGGTTGTTGGCTGCCCTACTGGGCCATGGAAGAAGCTAAGCATTTTGGGAATTTATCCTATGTATGCTTGTGTAACATATTCCACTGGAAATATGAACACACACATCTAGATAGGCAGATGAAACATAACACTAAGGTCCTAATTACTCATACTTGGAAATATCAGCACTAAAAGTCATCATCATTCAACTAATGAATCATTGAATACACATCAAAAACTAATGATGTACTATACATCATTAGTGACTAACTGAACATAATAAAAAATAAATTAAAAAATTATCATTCAACGAATAATTATTGAACTACAACTACATGCTCAGAAGTGGGATGAATGGGTACCGAGATGAATACAGTTCTTGACCCCAACACTGTCTCTCATCTGATAACTGAAGCAGGTGCTTATTTGGGGTTAGATGTGACAGAGCATTAACAAGGCATTCCATGTGTCATGCATGATGAGGAAGATGACGGGAAAACAGAATGCCAAGGAAGCCATGACAGGAGGCCCAGCCTTATCTAGGGAAGACAGGGATCTTTGGATGTGGCCCAGGGTGATCACACATCCCAGATGGCCCAGACACTCCTGACTGGCATCTACTATAGGGTATAATTAGTTCTCTTGCCCTTTTCCACTCTCAGATGTATCTCACTTTGGACTACAAATTACATGGTAGGCCCAGGTAGCCAATTGGAGATCTTTCTTTCCCTGGATAAAAGCAAGCTTCTTAAGGGCTTAGATAATTTTTCATGTTTCTTTATATTCCCAGGCAACCCCTAGGGCAGCTCTGGGGACTTCAAGGAGCCATAAGTACTCGGACAATTATACAGTGATGAATGTAGTGTCTCCTGTGTGCCAGGTGATTCCATTATGTCATTTCCATGTCTATGTCATGTCACATCACCCCTTTGAGAGACAAGGAATGGGAAGCAGAGAGGTTGAGCACTCATTCAAGTTCAGCCAGGTGGTGCCTGGCACAGCTGGACCCTGTCGCAAGTATCTCATGCTGCCTCTCACATTCATGTCCACCAGGACAACCCTGTATTTTACTATATAGTACTGCCTCACATGGAGCTTTGGGCAGAGGAGGGCCTAGAAGGTTCTGAGGGGTCATTGATCTTTTCTGCCCACATCACCTGGCTCTCCCACAGGACCTGCTTCTCTGGACGGTGTTTTTTTATCCTGCCTCATGACGAGGGACAGTAGACTCCTATGGATTTATTCAAGTTCAATGCCAAATGCCTGGGAAAAGCTAGGAAATCATAAGAATCTCCAAGGGTCCAAAGACTAAAAAAAGAACCTCACACAGACCCCTCTGCCACCCCCCAACCCCATGCTCCCTGAGCACCATGAAGAGTTATTTCCATCCTGCCCTTATCTTTCACAAAGTTGTTATAACTCTCATACTTCCATTTGTTTTTACAAGTCCTTCCGTGATATGTGGTATTTTTTTTTCCAAAAGATTGTGTGTGTGTCTGTTTTTTTTTTACTTTAAATCTGGTTTAAATTAAGTAGCCAGATGTGCCCATATTGGGCAGTGACGTTTACGACTTTCATACCTGTCCCAAGAAATTCTTGTATGTTTTTATGGAAAGAAGCCAACAATTACGTTGATCTTGCTGGGGTACCCTGCTGAGTGCTGTCACAGGGCTTACCCTGCTGAGTGCTTATCACAGTGGGTTTAGAACTCACCCCAGCTTTGTGACTAAAGAAAGTGAAGTTTGTTAAAATCACTCAGCTATTTAGTGACAGAGGTAGGATTTGAACCAGGCCCACTTAGTTTTAAAAGCTAAGTCTCTTTGTTCACTCTTCCTGGAGCTGCAGAAGAGGGTGGTAGTTGAGAGCTCCCTACAAGTGTAGCTTTGGGGTCAGGCGGATCTTGGGTCAAGTTCCAGTTCTACCAATAACTGGCTTGTAGCCTTGGGTTAGTTACCTAACTTCCCCAAAGCACACTTTCTTCATGTCCAAAGTGGAGGCAATAATAGCAGCTGCACTGCATATTATCCCCATTACATAATACTACAAAACATTCTAGGTGCGTTTCACGGTATTACACATGCACAACTCACTAACAATATTATTGTTACTTATATGCAAAAACTCCTTTTAAATCTTTTTTTAAAAGATTTTATGTATTTATTTGACATAGATCATAAGTAGGCAGAGAGGCAGGCAAAGAGAGAGAGGTGGGGAGGCAGGTTCCCTGCTGAGCAATCCCAGGACCCTGAGATCATGACCTGAGCCGAAGGCAGAGGCTCAACCCACTGAGCCACCCAGGCGTCCCTCAAATCATTTTTTAATGACTTAGTCACTAACACAGAATCCCAAAGACTTCAATCCAGTCACGCTTTCTTGGACTTCTTTGAGATAATGATTAAGTTGAAAGTATAACATGATATCCGTAATTTTTAAAAACTCAGACAAAGTGGGAACTAAAGGCCTCTTATTTCATCTAGCAAATTTTTTCCATTTTTTTTTTTAATATAGATGGTTTAGGGATTGTTTGGTTTTGCCTTCAGTAATAAGGACTGAAGAGAGTAAGATTTAAATAACTATCTGATACAGTGGTTAACATTTACCGGCATGCCAGCCCCTGACCAGTCCTGAGGAGCTGACCTTTGAGCGTCTGAAAGGGAGAGGCCATTGGAGCCATAGAGGTCTCCAGAGTCCACTTGAAACTACATGGCCTCAGAGTCCTAGTGTTGCTCCCAGTTTCCAAATCTTTCCCCGTGGAGCAATCCTGAAGGGAGGAAAAGAAATCATACTTTAAAAATTAGCCTTTCAATCCCTCTGCCCTGAGAGCCAAAGATGCAGGCACATAATTTTTTTTAAATATTTGGCCCTGTGCTACTGCTCTGTCAAATATCAGATGTTACCAATATTTTATATTGATTCTATTATTTTTTCCAGAGGATTGTATCATAGTTAGCCAGGTACAGATTCATAACAATACAAATTAATCTTGTTGACTATTATATTAAATTCTGGGGAATTGCTGACTGTCCTTCAGAAAGCCAAGAATTTTTCTCAGATGATGTTTTTCTAAACTCAAGCCAGATTTTTCACGGTTCATATGTCAGGCAGTTATGTTCATGGGGCAAGGATCAAATAGTCTACAATGCCTTCAGGTAGGTTGACATTTATAACTTTGAGGCAACTGTGAGGACAATGGGACATTGACAAGAGTGAGTGACAAGGGACAAGGCACAGTGCTGTACAGTCTAAAAACTCAAATTTCTCTTGGGAGTCTTTTTCCTTTTTTTCTTTTAAATTCAATTAGCCAACATGTAGTACATCATTAGTTTTTGATGTATTGTTCAAATAGTTGTGTATAACATCCAGTGCTCATCACATCTCTTGTGCGTTTCAAAGGATTGGCTGGCTCATGTGAGAAGTCCAGTGGGCTATAACAACCACAGAGATTGCAGAAATATTGTTAATTCAGAGCAAACCATGAAGTATAGAGTCTCTTCATTCCCCACCTATAGCATCCATGTGGAACAGGTGACAGTGGAGGGGAAGTCTTGGGTGTGACCCAAGCACCATGTTTGGTGCTCTTCTATCCAATCCCTGCTTCAGCTACTGGTGATTTTTCTTAGTGGAAACTATTCGTTTCTGCATAGTGACGTCAACTCCTTAATTTAAAACCAATGTTTGTGTAGTTCTGATTCAACTACTATGGTTCCTTGCGAAGCCTGAGACCTGCAGAGTAAATGGTGTGTTGCAATGACAAAATGACTAATGGCAAAGAGAGATCTTATTACTAATACAGCACATAGTGACCCAAGTAATGGATGAAGTTTTGCACATTGGCCTTAAATTTAACACATTTCCATCTGATAAGTTTTTAAACTTACTGCTGAGAATGGTTCCAGTCGCTTACGAGAAAAGTCAGAAAGATAGAAATTTTGTTTTTTTTTTAAAGTGGCGTTTAGCAAGGTGGATTCTCAAGGCAGAGCACAGACTGTTAGTAATAGATCGGAATGCCATGTGGGGTATCAGTTTCTCAGCACAGTCTTCTCATGGCAAAATGGGTCAAGTACTCTCAAGCTGTAGCCAAATGTAGGATGACTGTGCCGACTATAATTACTGCCAGGATTATACTGTTGGAAGGGACACTTCTGAAACTACTGCCATGTTAGCATGGCAGCTATTCCCAGTGACAGTGAAGAAGATATCACTGTGGAAAGAAACTAAAATATCATGGAAGGAATCTAGCAACGTTATTATATTGTGAATCCTTGTGGTGTTTTTTGTTTTGTTTTGTTTTTGCCAACTGGTTTTGGAACACATTCAGTCAATTTGGGATCTAGTACAGCACTGAGGAGATGCAATGGTTTTAGACTTGGGGAGACTTGGAGAGGGGTGAATACATTTTGCATGGGAGATGGACATGGATCCTTGGGTGCCAGTGGTTGGGTCATAGTAGACAAGGTGTCCATATTCTAATCACCAGAACCTATACCTATGTGACCTCGCATGGCAAAAGGGACCCTGCAGATGGGACCAATTTAAGGATTTTGAGGGAGGAAGATGACCCTGCATGATCTAGGTGGGCCCAATGGAAGCACAAGGATCCTTAGAGAGGTAGAAGGTTTGAGTGAGAGATGAGATGTGGAGACGAGATGTAGAGAGGTCTCTGTCTCTGTCTCAGTTTCTGTGTCTGACTTCTGCTTCTGTGTGTGATTTCTGCTCACGCTAGTGGGATTTCTATTAGCTGCATTACACAGCACGCCAGGAGAATGGCCTGAGGAATCGAAAGGTTCTTATTGCTCGTTTAGAACATTTTTTGTCCAGTATGTAATAGGAAGCCTGCTGATTTGGTGATTCCTCAATATTTCATTCCTTTACAATTTCACGTGAGGAAATTTGTTCATCTGTGATCTTCGTAGTAATTTTGTAACTTTGTTCATTGTGATCTTCATAGTAATTTATTGATTTGCTACTTGGTTACAAGTATTCATCTTAAAACACTTGTGGATTTCTGACTGGATGGTCATGTCATCAGCACATAAAGACTGGTTTTCTTCTTTCTATCTGGTTTTTATTCATTTTTTTAAAAGATTTTATTTATTTATTTGACAGAGAGAAAGAGAGCAGGCACAAGCAGGGGGAGCAGCAGGCAGAGGAAGAGGGAGAAGCAGGCTCCCCACTAAGCAGAGAGCCCGACATGGGGCTCAATCCCAGGACCCTGGGATCATGACCTGAGTCAACAGCAGATGCTTAACTGTCTGAGCCACCCAGGTGCCCCAAGGTTTTTATTTATTTTATAACTTTTATTTGCCTTATTGAACTCCCCGTACAATGTGATCACAGAAACTCTGAGAAAGAACATCCTTCACTTTTCTTCTATTTAGTAGAGTAACTAAAAGTTATAGAAGAGATCTATAGCTAATATCATACTCCATGTAATGTCATATATCATTTTTATTTTTTTAAAGATTTATTTGTTTGAGACAAAGATTGAGAGACCACACAAGCAGGAGGAGGGGCAGCAAGAGTGGGAGAGAATCTCAAGCAGGCTCTGACTCTGGAGCCTGATCTGGGGCTTGGTCTCACCACCCTGAGATCATGACCTGAGCCGAAATCAAGAGTTGGCTACTTAACCAACTAAGCCACCTATTATTTTTAAATTGTAGAAAAATACAACATTTTAAATCATATTTTAGTAGAAATAGGAAAGTATGAAGTATATGCAGTATAACATTAGCTGTAGATTTCCAATACATTTATTTTATCAGGTTTCAGAAGTGACCTTGTATTCCTTATTTTCAGGAAGTTTTTTAATTTGTTTTTTTTTTTCCTATCATGAATAGGTATTGAATCTTACCAAATAACTTTCCTACATGTAGTAAATGTTGATAGGGCTTTCCTCCTTTATGCTTTTTACATGGTGAATCACAATGATTAATTATCAGATATTAAATCAACCTTTAAGGCTTGTGACCATTTTTACGTACTACTGGATTTCATTTGCTGAAATTTTGTTAAAGCCATACTAGTCTGGAGTGATCATTTCTTGTGATACATTTTTTTGGGGTCTGGTTATCAAAATAATATTGTTCTCAAAAAAAAATTTTAATTTGTTCACTCCTTCTCTCTTTTCTTTCAAAGAGTCTTATAGAATATATATTACTTATCCCTTCCCTACTTCCCTGCTTAGTGTCCAGGCATGAGAAATGAGGTGAAAGAATCAGCAGCTGGAAAACCGTAACATGTCCTAAACTGAAGGACAGACCTTACTTTGAGTCCACATGGGTGCAACAACGTGTGAATTAGGCAGACTGCCGCGATCTTGGTATCACTGCTCCAGGGCAGGGGGCTCTGAGGGGGTCTGTACATATAAGATTGTCAGGATGGAGGAACAGAGAAAAATTCCTTCTTCCTGTAGAAAGCTTATTCCCAAAAGGAAAAAAAAAGAAAGAAAGAAAGAAAGAAAGAAAGAAAGAAAGAAAGAAAGAAAGAAAGAAGGAAAGAAACCTCTGTTATTTAAACTTTTGAGATATTAGGATATTTTGTGTTTCATCCTAACCTAGCCTCTCCCAACTAACACAATGTTCCGGTACATATTTTCCAAATGTGGGACTTTCTTATATACAGTATTTCCACCATCTTTGTTCACTGCATTTTTTAAAGTCTTATACACTTCCACCCATCTACTGGGTCCTATCCTTTCCTGTTGACGTGAGGATTTACTCCTGCACTTGACCTCTCTCTTCTTGTATTACATTTTTCTCCCTACTGGATCATTCATTAACATACAAATATACAAAAATTTTCCAAATTTAAAAATATGTTCCCTTGACCCAATTTCCTCATACCTCTGTGTCTTAGTCTGTTCAGGTTGTGTATAACAAAGTACCACAAACTGGGTGGCTTATAAATGATAGAAATGTATTTCTTGAAATTCTGGACCCTCAAAGTCTGAGATCAGGTGCCAACATGGTCAGGTGAGAGATCTCTTGCTGACTTTTTTTTTCTTTCTTACGAACTTCTTTTATCTTCATGTGGCCAAAGGGGTGAAGGATCTCTCTGGACTCTCTTTTATGAAAATTAATCCCAGGGATGAGGGTTCCACCTTCATGACTTAAGAGCATCTCCCAGACCCCACTTGCTAATATTATCCCCTTCGGGAATTCAGGTTTCAATATATGAATGGGGGTGGGGCACAGACATTTAATTCACAGCACACTGCCACCCTGTTTCTCTGCTATTAAAAACTTGAGAATCTACTTCTCCCCCAGTTCCCAAGCTGACCTCTTTAAATCCCGCTTTTGTCCCTACCATCCCAACACTGTTCCTACCAACCACCAATGGTGTTCATGTTACCAAAGTTAATGGTCAATAATGCACTTCAGAACCCCAGCTACGTTGAATGCATTTGCTCATTCTCTCTTCCTTTCCTTAGTCCCCGTGGCCTGTTTCCTTTATTTCCCTAAACTCTCAGCATTCCTCACATACTTGGAAGCCATCAATAGATAGATCATGTTTAACAGCATGGGAATGGAGGTCACCTATGGAGTGACCATGACAAGAGGGAAAAAGAAAGAAGTTTGGGTAAGATTTAATAATGGGAAGTATCAGTAGGTTAGCCTAGCAAACTCTGCATAAAGACATGGACCTTTTGGGGTCTCACCTTCTCCCTTGTTCTGACCGAATTTCTTCTTTCTGAGTGTTGGCATCACAGCTCATATTGTTCTTCCTCGGGACATCATTGCTTCCCTCTGTGTCCATTTTCTCTCTCATTTTCTCCCAATCTGATGACCTTCTCCCTAGTCTCTGAAATTTTTCTGAGGAATTTGCCTGGTTTAATAGCCATCACCCTAGTTGAGCAGAAATTTTCATGGCAGGTCACCTTAGTGGCAGCAGCCAGCTTAGAGACTCAGTGACCTTAGATCAGTGCCTGCATTTAGATGGATCAGCATCAGCCACTTCCTCAAAACACAGCCTGGGCTATGCCTTCCGCAGCTAGCTGGGGGAGGGACAGTGGGCCTTGCCAGGCACTTGGTCGAAGACCCTGGTGCTATCTGCATACTTGGCTATATGTAGATTGTAGATTAGAAAGCTTGAAAATATACAAGGGGCCACTACACCTCATGACCCATGTGCAGTTCTTTCTGTCCACCAGTCCTTTCCTTTTGCTTTAATAAAACCACCTTTTTGCACCAAGGGCGGGGGGCAGCGGTTAGAAAAAGAAAAAAGAAAAGAAAAAGGAAGAAAGAATTTTAAAATTTAGATGATTGACCTGAAAAACTTTTTTATTAATTCAAAATCCCTGAGAGTCTGTTGCCCATAATTTAAGAAACAGATTCCACCTAATTTTAGGCTGAGTGGTAATATTTGAATTATGTTCCTCATAAAATTCTATAATATCATAACAAAAACCTAACCAGACTTATTATGCTAGTCACAATTCATGTGCTTCTGTCCAGATGTGGGCCATATAATTTATCTCCAAGAAAGTTTGGAAAAGTGACCTTGCTGCTTAAGAAAGGCTCAATCTTGCTCCTATATTTAAATATGAAATTCTTTATTTTCAGCTCTGTTCCACTGACCTTATCACTATAGACACAGTAAATAAATTTTAAAAACAAAAAGCCAAAGGGATAGTTATAAAAGTAATATGAAAAATCATGAGGACTTGCTTTGTTTGAAGTCTGTACCTAGAGTAAATCTATTCAGCACGGTTGCTATTGTGTCTTACTGGACTCCAGTCTGCAGCAAAGTAAGTCGGTGCCTATGTGTGTGGGTGATATTGTAGTGAAGAGCATGGGTCAGGCTCCAGTCCTGGCTCTGTTGCTGGCCAGGTTTGCTACCTTGGGAGAGCTACTTGAACTCTCCCTTTTCCCCATTATGAAATGATAAAAATGTGATTAATAATAAATGCCTCTGAATTATTGTAAGAAGTAACTGAAATAATACATCAGAAAAGCTTCAAAGTAGGTCTTGAACTTAACAAAATCCTGTACATGTGTAATTTGTATTTATTTTAGAAATCTGTCTCCCAACCTATTCACTAAGGATGGCATTTCCTTTGGGCACATTTTCATTTAGTAAAATGTAATTATGACAAGACTCAGTAAATATCCCATTCTATTAACAATTAGAATAACCTAAACCTCAAGCAATTTGTAGCATATGGAAATGTAAACTATGGAAACACATTACAATGACTCAGTTTCTTTCATAAGTGGGTACTTCTCAAAATGTAATGTGTAGAGAACCACCTGGAGCTTTCACTAAAATGTAAATTCTGACTCAGTAGTCCTAGATGAAATCTGACATTTAAATGTCTAACAACTTCCCATATGACAGTGATGTCCTAGTCTCTGGACCACAGCTTGACTCCAAAAAAACTAGCTAAGAGTAGAAATTTAAACGTTACTGTGGTGTGTATAGCTTTGAACTGAAAATGTAAAGGTGTCAAATCACAACAAAATGTGAACAAAGCCAAATGGTATATGAACCCAGGGGTGTTTGCAAATCTAAATAAATGGCTTTTTGACAAAAACATGTTAGATTGTAGACTTTCACTCTTTTTCGCATTCTCAGTTCATACTTTACCAACAAGTGAGACCATACTTCTTGAACTGTGAAGACACGTGATGTGGATGATGATAACAGATGAAAATACTGGAAACGAGGACTATCCTAAAAATTTGACATGCCATGACCCCAGGTATCTGCTTTCAATGGTTGATACCCTTGCACAGTCCCACAGTGGAAACTCCGATTTCTGAATCTATATAAAAAAAAAAAACTTTAAATATATTTTTGGAAATCATATTTGCCTTCTCTTCCCAGAGTCCTGATAACTATGTAATGAAGCACACATTTCTTTTCTTTGACTTACCAAGGAGTCATTGTGATCTAAATCTAAAATGGAGACACCTCACACCCACGTGAGAAACTCCCCCTCACTACCACTCCTTCCAACAGGGTTGAAAAGTAGGGGGTGAGGGTGGGAAGATGGCTGGACAGGGTCTGGCAGGATTTCTCCACCAGAGGTCAGCATCAAAACTGCTGTCTTTAGGGTCAAGGGTAAGTGCGAGATCAAGATTTTCATTCAGTCTTTAAAGAGAAGATAAAACAAATCACCACCCCTGGGAGTGGACAGGCACTGAGTTAAATTTATCCTACATTACAAATGGATTATTACACCTTCCTTTACAAAAGCAAATGAAAGTAGTTCATATAAATACATACACATGGTAACAAAATGTAAAATAGAGGCAATGAGGAAATCACAGAGGAAGAAGCAATAAAGTGATCAAAGCAGCCCTAAAGCCAATATCGAGATCCATGCCTGTAGGCCTTTTATAGTAACAAGAAGTATTAAAAAAAAAAAAAGGTAGAGTTCTGAGTTTTTTGGCCACTGATTAAAAGAGTGAAATAATAGTTATGTGACTTGAAAAGGTAACACCACAAACAGTTGGTCGAGGACCACATGCTGTGAATGAGAGCAGTCCTTCTTCATGTAGAGGATGGGAAGAACAGAGACAACCCCCAGCTATCAGCACAGTTAAGACAGCCCCAAGCTGCTAGTCTGTCCACCCACACGCTCCAAAAGTGGGCACAGAGCAGCAGGACAAAGCAGGATTCAGTAACAGCAAGTTCACAGTTGGGTCCAGCATCCAGATTGCTATTAGCCAACATAATCCAGGAATAGATTTTATAGTATCCAGAAAAATGCATTGATTGGCAATTCTCCTGACAATCGCCTGTAAACATTTCTCCTGAAATATTTCCTTAGGTAAGAAAGAGCGGGTTCAAGTTTCCACTTCGGAGTAGAGTATACCGTGTGGGAACCATGTTGTTCTAATACAGAGCTGTAGCACTAGCTGAGTTAAGGGCTGAGGTAGGACTGTGGTCTTCCTGTGAGGAGAGCAGCACCCAGACACAAGACCACTTGGAGATGCAGTCCAGATGGGGACCACGGGGCTGCTTCTGAAGAGCTGGACATCTGTAGAAACAGTTCTGGTCCACTATGACAAGCTGCTGAAGGGCTATCTTGTCCCTAAAGTTCTGGGTCATAAAGCATGCTGTCAAGTGGTTGTAGCAATGAAACTCTCTATTCAAATAAAATCTTAGCTGAATGCCTAGTATCCCTCAAGGCAACAAGGGTGTCTGCCCCATTGAGGCAGGGGTAGCCCACCCCTCCAGTCTTGCGTGGACGACCCACAGTGGCCCCCTGAGGCACCTCAATAGCAGGTCAGAAAAGATAACCCCACATTCTACCAACAAGTTCCAGAAAGCCTTTCTGTTGAGGTTAACAAAAACAACCGGAAATCATTAAAATCAAGAAGAGTCAAACACCTACCTTGTAATTGGAAAAAAAAATCAATAAAGCTCTCATGGAATATTTAATACTAAGCAATAAAACTTCCTGATGCACTCACCAAGATTAAATAGTTGCAAAGTGCATGTCTGAGCAACTAAGCTTATTAACTCAAAGGCAATCAAATGTTGGTGGATGCCTAGCAAAAATTGTGTAATCTGACAATATTGTCAACTGACTCATACAGCCTGGTTAATAGCATGGAACTCACACCTGTTCAGCTTCACCTGAAAGAATGCTGTTGTCCTCTATGAGTAAGGAAGTCATTCAAAAGAGCTTTTGAAAAAAATTTCATTTTTGAAATGTTAAATGTTTAAAAGTCTAAATGTTAAGAAAATGCACATTAAAAAAATAAGTTTAAAGATTAAAAAGTATTTCAGAATAGATTGCCACTTCACTCCACAGAAAGTGCTTTTCTTATCCTTCAAAAATGGTGTCTGTCAAACTTGACCTTCAAGGTGATATAAAGGACAGATTCTGAATAAGGGCCAGAAACTAGAGAGTTGCACTGAGCTTCTTCAGCCAATTCCATTATAGACATATGTCTATTTTAATATATATATTAAATATATATGTACATATATTTATCTCCATAAAATTAAAATTAAGTGGGATGTAACAGTGTCAAGAATTGGACTAGACAAGCTTGAATTTCAGAAGTTCCTTGTTAGCCTGAGAAAAACCTTTTGCTTTTTTTTTTTAATTTGAGTATAATTGACACACACTGCTACATTAGTTTCAGATTACAACAGTGATTTGACAAAGTCATACACTATGCTATGTTCACAAGCATAGCTACCAATTGTCCCATTACATCCCTACCACATCACTGTGGTATCACTACCATATCACTGATGGTGTTCCTTATGCTATGTCTTTTATTCCCATGACTTACTCATTCCGTAACTAGAAGCCTGTATCTCCCACTTCTCTTCATCCATTTTCCTACCCCCACCCCCCTCCTCTCTGGTAACCACTAGTTTGTTCTCTGTATTTATAGGTCTGGTTCTACTTTTTATTTATTCATTTGTCTGTTTGTTTTTGGATCCCATTTATGAATGGAATCATACGGTATTTTTCTTTCTCTTCTGACTTATTTCACTTAGCATAATAGCACCTAGGTCCATCCAAGGAAAAAATGTTTTTAAGTCTAATTAAGAAAAAAGCTGCCATCATATGACTCATACAATATCACTTTCAGGGGGAAAAAAAGGGCGATCTTTTTAAAAATTGGGTAAACTGTGTATTGGATCCACCAGGTACAAACATGCTCATATAGTCATAAAATTGGTAAAATAAACAGAAATGGCCAAAAACAAATTGTACATTTCCAATTTGGCCTTAACTGTTTCAGAGGCAAGAAATTTTTTTCCAGTTTTGCTTTGTTCTGCTTTTA